GAAAAATTCTGGATCCTCCCCTGCTGTGATGCATGGTTCAAATAGGTATTATCCCAGCTAAATATTCACAACCTTATAAGAGCATAAAATCTCTTTCTTAATATCACATATAAAGCTATAAAACAGTTTTTCAAATATCACAGCTTCAACCAATCTGGTTAATTATTCTTCATCATCACCAGAATCAAAAAAATAAATTATAAGAAAGAAAATAATCTACACTCTGTACATTTTAAAACCTTAATGCATTAATGTACAATAATAACGTATTGCAAATTCTAGTGGATGTCATTTTGTACAATGGCGTTGGATTTACCGTCGCTTTCGTCATATGATTGCATTCAGTTGGCAGGATACGGTGAATGTTGCTATGAAATTTAATGACTGCTGAAACACATGAAGAGATATGTTTTATTACACAATATAATAATTTTATATTCTTATAGTTGATGCATTCTGTGTGTATGATTGAGGCAAGCATTTGCCTCCTGACTTGGTTTATGTGGTAATTATGTGGTTGAAAAACATGCTCTAATCAATAATGGCATTAAGATTTTTACAACGCAGGTTGCAATATTTTTAGAGTAAGCATTTATTCCAAGACATTTTTCATGAATGAGATGACACATACTGTATGTCCTTGAAGGCAGTGGAATGAATATAGTAATTATCATAATAAAAACAATAGTCAGAATAACAGCAAACAATAATTAAAAATTTATACTGCTCATATCCATAGAAAAAAAAGCATTATAAAATAAAGTATTACTATTTTTTGCAGGATTATGCAAAAACTAATGAATGGATTATCATAGAATTGAGTGGAATGTTTATGTGGTGAAAACAAAGGCGATAAATTTTGGGGTTAAACGGTCGAAGTCACAGAAAGATGAAAAATTGTATTAATAAAAATTTCAAATTTAAAAAATGTAAATAAATGCAAAAACACAGAGATAAAAATGTTAACTTCCCCACTTGCCCATAAGCATATTTAATATGCTCTAAAATTCTAGAATATCCCACAAGCCTTTGAATACCACGCCTGCTATTTTCAGGTACTAAGTACGTCTAAAGGTATCACTATTGGCATGTCTGCCGTGATTAACGTTTTCATTGTGTGTATCTAAATTCCTTTACCTGTAGGCAGGACTTCTAAAAATGAATAATAATTATGGTGACACTGCCTCAGCTTTTGGCACAAGTGACAAACATTTGATGCGGAAATGAGGAGAGATTATAACAAATAAATGGAATAAGAAAATTCAACGAGATCGCATCTCGTAGAAGTATAAATACGGCCTATTAAAAGCAATATGAGATGCTAAATATATTTTCAAGCCTACAGTAGCTGTTTGTGTTTTTTGCTTTGGCAGATAACCACAGGGTTTGGAAAAAGTGCACATCTGTATGACTTGATGCATTGTACATCAATTTTACAAAAAATAATTTCCATGGTCAGAGACACCGAAGTTTTATTTATCAGAATATTATTATAAAAATGGTTTAAATTTATCATCATATTTCCACACCCCACCCACCCCATCATTATTGCTTTTGGAATATTAATTTCAACATGATATGTAAATATTCATTGGATATTGATCTAATAAATACTAATTTGCATATAATTAAAATTCCCAATCAAAATTGAATTGAATTTACATATTAATTGTAGAATTAACTATGCATTATACCTCAGATACTAAATTTAATATTAACATTAGAAATATTCATTTGTACATTGGATTTTGAAATACTCCTTGAATAAAATTTTATAATCTGCATTTGCATATTATCTTCAGAATGCATTGAAGAGTATTGACCTTGGATTAGGAATATATTTATAGCATTACTCAAGATACAGTTAGTGTTCACTTAAAGAATTGTGTTTACTGCTGTTGGAAACAGCATCAAAATACATGTACTTTTTATTTGCTATTTAATTATAATGCAGGGGTCCCAAGTTGGAAGGAGTCACTTCTGGGAGATCTGGTTAAATGAGCTTTCTTTAGACATGTATTTCATTTTTGCTACACATAGTATGTAACTGTAGTGTGAGACAACTGATAATAAAGCAGTAAAAACAAGCAAATATGTATGTCTTTCTTTGTTGTGTTCCAAATACACAAAATAAATGAAATGAAACATGAATTTGCAGGAGATGGGTTATTTTCCGGGAGATTCTTGCTTGCTTGCGGGAATGCCAGAGGCAGTACCGATTTCCAATAGACATGGGATCCCTGATAATGAAAAATACAAATAAATATGGATAAAAAAATCTCCTTGATACACATCCTTTTCTTTGTATAATGTAATAACTTCCTTTACATTGTCCCTCCATTCCCTTGCTACACAATATTTCTTTTACCCCTTGGAAGAATCCTCATTTTCCGAAATTCTTTCTACTATATTCTTCTTTGTCTATTTGTCATTCCGTAAAACTACTTTATCACTTGCTTACTCTCCCTGCCATATATATATATATATACTGTAGTCATTTTCTGTCCCTCCTTCCATTAGTCCTCCTCCATTTTTAATTCCATCTATCTTTCCATATTCTCTTTACCATATATCATCCCTAACTCTCATTTTCAAGGATCTTCCATAGTCTTCATTTCCATCTTTCTTCATGCTCCTTTGTCTGTACATTCCATTATAACCATCCATCATCTCTAACCAGGTCTACATATTCCTCAATGAGCTCAGCTAACTACATCAAACTGACATCTAATATATAGGCATACTATTAATCACCATCATCAATCAATTAATTATTATTACTCTAGTCATTAACAATACCAACTAATAAATAATTAATTATTTAATTAGCCAAGTATTCTCATTTAGACATGTATTTCATTTTGCTACACATAGTATGTAACTGTAGTGTGAGACAACTGATAATAAAGCAGTAAAAACGAGCAAATATGTATGTCTTTCTTTGTTGTGTTCCAAATACACAAAATAAATGAAATGAAACATGAATTTGCAGGAGATGGGTTATTTTCCGGGAGATTCTTGCTTGCTTGCGGGAATGCTGGAGGCAGTACCGATTTCCAATAGACATGGGATCCCTGATAATGAAAAATACAAATAAAGATGGATACAAAAATCTCCTTGATACACATCCTTTTCTTTGTATAATGTAATAACTTCCTTTACATTGTCCCTCCATTCCCTTGCTACACAATATTTCTTTTACCCCTTGGAAGAATCCTCATTTTCCGAAATTCCTTCTACTATATTCTTCTTTGTCTATTTGTCATTCCATAAAACTACTTTATCACTTGCTTACTCTCCCTGCCATATATATATATATATACTGTAGTCATTTTCTGTCCCTCCTTCCATTAGTCCTCCTCCATTTTTAATTCCATCTATCTTTCCATATTCTCTTTACCATATATCATCCCTAACTCTCATTTTCAAGGATCTTCCATAGTCTTCATTTCCATCTTTCTTCATGCTCCTTTGTCTGTACATTCCATTATAACCATCCATCATCTCTAACCAGGTCTACATATTCCTCAATGAGCTCAGCTAACTACATCAAACTGACATCTAATATATAGGCATACTATTAATCACCATCATCAATCAATTAATTATTATTACTCTAGTCATTAACAATACCAACTAATAAATAATTAATTACTTAATTAGCCAAGTATTCTCACTCTGCTACTGTAGTCAATTGTGATCTTAACAATATGCACAAATGGATTAAAATTATCAACATTTAGTTTATATTAAATTTAAATTTAATATACATGCATGTATTTGGAAGGTTTTACAAGTTTGCTTAAAATTAGGTAATAAATGCCATAAAATTCTCATTGGGAGAGTTTGCTGAAGAATAACAATTGGTGTGGTTTTATAAAAGGTGTTTGAATGTGGAATACTGTAGTAGCTCTGCAGTTACGATGCATTCCTTGCATTCTAACTAAGCCTCTGGGTTCAAATCCGTTGAGAACAAGGACCCTCTCAGACTATAAACTCTATTTTCTAGTCTTGACTTACACTCGATTCACAGTGGCATACCTAGGGAGGGGGATGCGCAGGGCGCCTCAGTCGCCCCCCAAAAATCATGGTCAAGTAATTAGAAATCACCTAAAATCTCCTTATTTTGTGAGTTAGCACCCCTCAACAGATCATCGAGCCCCTCCCACTTCACCTTCGCACTCCCCTCCCCCCTCTTCCACAGGACCCCATTTAAGGACTTCTAGATACGCCACTGCCGATTCACACACATAAAAATGTTACACACATCCCCTGCTAGGGGGATTTTATTAAGCATCCCTATGAATGCTTATCAATGTAAGATTACCACACACCCTGTATATCCATGCAAGAAAAACAGATATTGCAGAGGCCTGTAACAATCTTGAGATATTTAGCAAGTATCTGTTTGCATGCTCTTAGGACGCTGCTTATTTTTGCTCTGCGGTGTTCTGGGTATCTTTACTGTCAGCATATAAATTGTACAGCTTTCAGCAAGGTTTGTATTCACTTGTGTATGGGGCAACAGCATCTCAGTAGGAATATCTCTTTACATTTAGAATTATTTAGCATGCATCCCATGTAATATTTGCAAATCGGGTATAAGTTTATAAAACACCATTTCACCATACACGTAATAAACATTCCATCCTCAAAATGGTAAACAGAAAAATATCTGAATACCAATTTCATCTACATGAATTGGGCAATGTAAAATTAGTAATCATTCATTTATTAAAGATGCATCAACCACACACGAGTAATTCACTCAATTAGCTCTTCTACCTGAAATATATACTGCATGCATCGTAAAAAAAGTGCGAAAATAAATTGATAGTAGGAGAGCTGAAAAAAGGAAATTTCTAAAAAATGGTCAATCTAAATTCAGGTTATAATCATACAATAAACCTTTGAGAATGTGTTTTGTGGTGATAAGATCATCCACTACTTTTACTTGGTTATCAACCAGGATTGTATAGCAATGCCTGGTGATAATTTACCTCTATTGTTTTTGCATCGATTGGGTTCACTTCCTGAACTTGTTCCCCTTCTTCACCACCTTCCTTATTCCCATTTGCTGCCCCCTTCCCTTCCTCATCGTCTTCTGTCATGAGCCCAAACATGTTTGCAATTTCTTTGGTTTAATGGAGTAAAAAAAATAGCCTACTGCAGTCAATATATCCACTTAAATGTCTGCTTGTAAAATAGAAACCTCAAACATATAATTCCAAAATGAATTTAAGGATTCAAAATTAACATCACAGGAAAAATTGTACTTATCGCCTCGTAAAATCTTTCTCCATGAAAGATGATGAAAATCATTCAATCTGGTACGCATTCCATACATAGGTACCATAAATTGTCATTTTTCATATAGGCCGGGAAATGCCTACTTTAAGATGAGTTAAGTTTCACAATATCCGACTCTCACTTGTCTATATACTTGGCTTGCTTTATACTATATTGCTCAGATATGCTCCATAGATGAAATGAGAAAATTGCTGAATAGGTTAAAATTTCTAGAAGTAGCTCAGCTGCAGACGCTGACGTAGGATAAGAATAAAATACAGCTATGACGAATTCCAAACAGTATAATGATCTATTACTACATCCTGGCCATCTGTTAGAGCTAGTCTTAAGAAATGTCAGCCTAGCTGCCTCCTTTTTCTCTTACTGCTTACAAACGAATTAGATCTTACTGTATTGTGCTCCGAGGCAGAGGATCAATAGATGTATAGATGGCCATGTTGGCTGACTCTCATCAACAATCCACATAGGCTAACGAGAATACTCAGCTACCGCATCATCACAAACAACATAACGATAATAAATGAAGTTTCCAATGGAGACGTTATAAACCAATAGAGTACCAATAGAGATGAGAAGACTTTTAAGATCCAGTGCATATAGAAATGAACCAGTAGTAAATTATCATTATTCCATTGAGTGCTTCAAGCGAATTAATCAATTTTCTCTACCCTTGACTGAATATCACTTTTTTCCTAGCATGTACAGCATTCTACAGTAATACAACCAATAAAATAACTCTCCCCATCAGCTGATACTTAGACATGTATATAACCATGTATTATATTCGGATATACATCATTTACTGCACGTAAATTAATGAACACGATGGAACTGAGTGTGAACTGCCACCAAGGACCACCTGACTAACGAATGCAATATGAGCCTGTAAATATGAGATCAATATGCTTATTGTTGTGTAGACACGAGCATGTAAGTGTGTGTACACGCTTGTGAGAATGTGAATTTCGATTGATTTTATTCAGATGACTCTTGGGCAATGGAGATGACAAAGACAAGAAATACTAGGCTATTATAAATGATATGAAAGGAGAAGGAAATAGATCGCGCTAGAGGTGGTGGGGTATTAAGGAGAGTGGGAGATGAGATGGATAACACGTTAATAGAGAATCTTGAATTTAATAGAGTGAGGAAATTTAGTAGATATGGCAAATTTATATAGTTACATAAGTACAGAGTGTGAAGTTCAATAGAGTGTAAGGTTAAGAAAGAAACATAAGTGTATGGCACTATAAGAAAATTAATGAAAAATACTGAAATAGTGAGGAAACTATTGGAGTATTAAGGAATATAAAAGTATTTTTATTCAAAATATCATAAGTTGTGTTTCCAAAAATATTCTTATTGGAAAAATTATGGGGATGGAGAAGGATTCTTAAGGCATACCAAAGATAATATATATAACATACAGTAGAATACACCTAAACACCCTAAAGTGTTACCATGCATAATCTAATTAAAATTTCATTTCATTCAGGAATTAAAATAAAGTATCAACACATTTCATAGAAAACAACAAAGAACATAAATAAAATAAAAAAATAACAGATATTAATTCATACGGTTACCCAAGAAAGTGTTAAAATATTTTTAAAATAAAACTTATTACCCTTGGATCCTTTTCAATATTTCAGATCAACTTATAGCTTTTAAAAAAAGAAAATGTATTTTAGTTTATTATATGTATATCCTGTTCTTTCTTCATAAATGTCCAAACTTATAATTTATAACTTTTGTATATGTAAAGCGCATTGATTTCCTTGGATAAGAAAAAGCGCTACATAAATACTTGCATTGTTATTCTTCAACTATTAAAAAAAACATGATTTAATTTTCAGCAAATACATGTCAACATAACGTATGCTGCGATGCATTTCATATTAATAAATCCATTATCTACCTCGCTCAATGTTCGCAACAAAAATGTTAATAACGCATTAGAGTGAACATAATTTTATGCATGTGAATAAAACAGCGAGTAAGCATTCAAGTGAGCTAACCACATTACCTGCGAGGGAAATTATGTTTCTCAAAAATTTAGGGTTTCAACTTAGGAATATTAAGGTGATGACATAGTGGCGGATTATCTATTCCTTGTGTATTAGGCAACATCTTGAGAAAAAATGCATACCTAATGGAAAAATGCAAATGCGTACTAGTATAATTATAACTTGGCGTCATAGCTGAATTGGCTGATGGAACAGTCATCGGAAGATCTAGAATTTTAATACAGAGTGACAGAGAAAATATAGTTCCTCGAATTATTAACGAAATCATAGGATTATCATAATAAAAATTTAAGTACTTATTATAGTGCACTTCAGAATCTAAGGTAGACAAAGTGTCAGCAGCGTTAACCAGTCACTGGATCCACTAATTTTCAAACATGCGGCGCGCTATGTGCAACCTCCTCGGGGAGTATTCATGGATATCGCATGTAATGCATTGCAAATAGATCAATACATTAAATGCCAAAACATACTATCGGATACCCATGAATTTATACTCCTGGGTGGAGAGAGACAATTGCATGTAAGTGCCTTGCCTAAGAACATAAGTTAAGAGCTAACATGGGATTTGAACTCTAACTTCATGTTTAAAGTTCAAATTGTTTATTTATTCATTTCTATATTTTATTTGGCTCAGATCTGAGCGAATGCATCTAGAGGCATGTACCATACGTTATATTTATTTCACTTATTACCATGTTACATAAATTATTCCCACAAATTTCAAGCCTACTGTATGTCCTATTTTGAAAATAACGATTGCATACACCATCAATAATCAATTTGGAAACCAAACAATGACCATTGTGCATGTATCCTGAACTGCTTTTAGCAGATACAGTACCTAATGTTTTAAATGTATGTACTTACTGGTCTAGCTTTACATGCTCAAGTTGAAATGTCTGTACAATTAGCCCCATTCTGTATGGATCTTACAAAAGCCAATCGATGTTATAACCTATAATTTCCATGAATAAGTAAAAGGCACGAAAAATGACAGATGAGAATGAGACACTTTAAAGAAAAAAAATTGCATGAATGTATAATGTACATTTGAATGACGACAATGACGAGACAGAAAATGGTGATGTTGATGATGATGACCATGATGTCATCAAAAATCATAATAATGATGACAATGATGATGATTGTGACAATTTATTTACCTTATGTATTCATTATTTATATTGGGAACCTTTTCACACAAGTGACAATCAAATGAGGCTTACAGTAGGCAGTGGAACTGTTCTTAGTCATGAGAAAAAAAAATCTGGTTTTGTGTGTTTTTATTATCTTTTCAAGCTCACGTATTCTTGAAGAAGCACTAAATGTACTTTTTTCCCTGGTAATTTAATATAGAATCAACCATACACAACATGCATCCTTTTGGAGAGTTCTCTAACCATTCACCTCCCGCATGCCTCCTACCAGGTACACATTTAGACTCTTGGATGAAGAGAGGTAAAAACATAGCTGTTTGTTCTGTGTGCCAGTTGGGAGCTCATAGATGTGTTAGGTGCACACAAAAAATATAGGCTCGTATTTTATGCAAATACGAGGTTCTAATTGGTGGAGCTGGCTTAACCTTAAACTTCAGCACTCTATCTTAAATGCACTAACAGCATGAAATACATATTTCTAGCAAAAAAATGGGTCAATAAAACACATATAAGAAATAAAATGAAAGTAAATAATAAATTACTATAATATAAATTAACACATCAGGGAATATTCCCTACAAATAATAATTCTCATGTACGTTAACACATAACATTTTAAAGTGTTCACATGAGACATTACGTGTTCATGCGAACGATAGTTCACATAGTTGAAGATCATCAGCTGTATCTTCCACATATCAAATTACCTTCAGTACAGAATACACTCAGGTAAAATCAAATTAACTCAAGCTAGTCTAAAATGGCATTTAAATAAACAATTTAATTTCTAATTAAATGAGTTCACATGTTCTATTCCTTGTATCACTTTTTATGGTAAGGACTTTTTCCTTTTGCTAACGAGCAATATTAAATGGTTCTCCAGCAGGGTAGCTTAAGAGACGTAGTTAACACGTAACAAACCATCAATTATTTTAATGTTCTCAATTTGTATTTGTCTGACGCCATGCAAAACTTCAATTTACAATTTCATTATAATATTTTAGATCACAAATTAATAATCAATTCATATTAATTAGGTTGTTTAATAAATTTTAAAATTAGTATTCATTACTTATATATATTTTCTAATTTGTTCCCAGATTTGATTTTTTTTAATGGCTCTAAATTCTAAGTTAATCAATTTTATACATAGGATTAGTTTAACAATTAGTATGATTTAATTGTCTTACATATTAGGTATGTATTTAGAGTCCCCAACTAATCACCAAAAGTTAGATGGACCACCCACATAAAACATCATTGAAAACAAAATCAGCTCCTATCTAGCGCTACTACAGTAACATGGATTCTTATTTCAAAGGATCTCCATTGAGTGAGGAGAGCATGCATCATTTCTTTCTACCAATAACATAACCTATAGAGGGAGCTATTGCTAAAAATCTTCAGACCAGTGTTGATAGCAATTTGGCTGCTTTCATTTCAAATACAGATAGAAAGGTACAGGGTGATTCAAAGATCCTAGGCAATTAGTATTGAACCACTCATCTCACTCCCCACCAACTCAACTCTCCATTCATCTAACCAACTCCTACTGAAACCTGGAACACGCATCAAAACATCTTCATATGGGGACAGGCCTTTTTCTGTTGCAGCCCCAAAACTCTAGAACAGTCTTATGTATGAAATCTGTGCATCAACATAAATGTCATCATTTTCAAAACAAAACTCAAAACGCATCTTTTTTTCTGATTTGTTTATAGAACTTGGAATTGCATGTGCTTCAAAAATGTATTTTGAGTTATACAGTATAAATGTTATTTAATTATTATTATTATTATTATTATTATTATTATTATTATTATTATTATTATTAATCAATTTACAGGGGTGTAGACTGGCTTCAGCCAGGGTGAAGGGGTACAAAAAATAAGTATGTGTAACTAAATCCCAAAATGCAGAATTTCCAATGAAAACTTAATGGTCATTTTTAGTATTTTAACCCACCTTCCCCTTCCCCTTACTCTATGCTTTACAACATATGGTATCAAACAAAAGTACAAATTTCAAAGTGGAATATCTTCATAAATTTTCTATTTTTTAAATAATGACACTAATAATAGCTTTCATTTTGAACAGCCTTTTAAAGAAGAACATGTAACAAAAGTTGGTAGGAAAAGGTGATATTAAAACTTTTAAAAACTATGAGAAAAATTCCCCTTACATGTGATACAATAGAGTAAACAACAACACACCGATAAAGCATGTCAATATTATGAAGTCTTTTAAAGAACATGTTAATAACAAAAGTTGTTAGGGAAAAGGTCATCTAAAACCTTTGAAAATCTTTATTATTTGTATGCAATATAGTGAACAATACGGCTAACAGAACACTACGAAGTATGTCAGTATTAGTGAACAGGTTTTAAAATCCGTTGATTTGAACTATGAACTCTCATTTGGCAACCAGACGAACTGTCAATAGCAGCATTGTCAAAATCGACAGCAGGATAAAGGTAACAATTGGGCATAGAGGGTCATGTGATTAAATGCATTATTAGCATTTTTATTCATTCTGAATAATAGAGGGCCTTTTACATATTTATATTGATCTTTGGATAAAGTAAGCTTAAACTTTAAATAGAAATTGTTATTTCCTTGTGAGGTTGTTAGATTGCTGTGACTGTGAAAATACATAATATTATGGCACCACTACGATAAACCAATTAATTTCGTCTCTATAGAAGTACAGACAATTGAATGATCGATATTCAACGGAATTGCTAACACTTTAATTAAGGTAAGTATGTCAGATCTGATATTTATTACATTTATAACTGACTTTAAATGAAGTTTAGTAAAGGAGTTATGTTGGAGGTTGGCAATGGAAAGGGTTGCAATGGTAGAATGAAAAATAATTAATTAAATGAAGACTCCTCCAATTACAAACCATCTGCAATCAAAGACCATATTTTGGCAGTCTCAAATAAACACACTATCCTTTATCTGATAGATACTTTTCTAACTAGAGAACACACTGCTAAAGGCCAGGAAAAACCCTGGTTCAAAAATGGTTTTGTAAATGGAGGACCAAAGATAAATACATTTATTTGACTATAATTATTTTTGCAGTTAAAAACTCCAAAAATTAAAATGAGCAAGCCATCCAGTAAAGACCTCCAATGGACAAGATCATGCTACACTCTCATGGAGATCCTGAAAAAGTGTTCTTTGCCAATCATTCTACAAAACTCAGACTACAAACAAGCGGTTCGTGAGAAAGCAAATAGTTTAAGTGAGAAAAATAGGCCTACAGCATATCAAAAAAAGTATAGTAAAGTAGGCCTAACCAAAGAGTATAAATAGAACAAGAGAGCCAACAACGCTCATTGAGAGCGTAAAAAATGATACGCTCTACGCAGCTAGTGTAGGACGCCAACTAACGCTTGTATGTGTTTTATTACCCAGTGCTCCACCGCGCACGGTAGGTTTGTCTGTTTATCTGTTCTCCACAAGATACTGTACTTTTGTTTTCTGCTTACTGAGTTTATAGCGGGCGTACTTCTACCGCGCTGCGCAGCGCTGCACTGGTAATAAAAAGAATATACAACCGTTAGTGGGCGTCTTACACAGGCATGACGTTTTTACGAACGGAACTTTGCTCTCTTGTTCTATTTATACTCTTTGGCCTAACCTAATGTGTTTCTAGTTTTTTTTTTAATATATATTTTTATTTCAATACCCAAACCAACAGCAATAAAATCAAAAAGAATAAATAATCAAAGACCTACACCAAATACTCAATACAAACTCAAAATTTTTTATAATATATTTAACACTTTCTTCCTGAACAGATGCAGGAAATTTGAAAAAAATTATCAATTTCTAAAAGAGAATTATAAGCTTAACTTAATCTACAAAGTAATCCATTTTGGAATGCATTTACTCTCCTGAATGGAACATAAAATGTGGGCTTGGCTCTTAATCTACAGGAGGGGACACTAATTAAAAAAAAAAAAAAAAAATCAAAATTGTTACTGTATGTACAGAATTATAAAGAAACTTAAAGTCCGGGAGAACTCTGCAAACTTAGGTGAAAGATTTATAATGATATCATGTTTTCTCCGTCCTTTTTTGTAATGTTTATATATGCAATTTATCTTTAAAAATTTTAGTGACGTCATTACATTCTATGTCCTACTATTGTTGTGCAGTCGAAACCTCCCTATTAATTCATTTGCCTTTCATAATGAAATCTTTGGATATTAAACAATAGGTTTTATGGGTGGATCAGATATTCACAAGTGGTGCTTTGTGCGCAAGAGGAAAGAGAGATCATTTCCTTCTGGTTCCACACAATTCTCCGCTGCTTCAAAAGCTTCAAATCTATAAAGGTACATAATTCCTAACTTATTTGATTCATTGGTTTTTGTCTCCCTGGAATTTGGTAAATTCATTTCATTTATTTATTCAGATAAGTTTGGTTTTTTTTCTTCTCTGTTGTTGTTAAGCGCCTCGAGGTTGTGTCAACGTGAGGCGCTATATAAATCCAGAATTATTATATTATTATAAGTGCCTTGGGGCACCAAAAGCAACAAAGTCACCATGACAAAAGTCTGGAGCCCCAACCATTTTAAATACAGGCAATTTTTTGACATGTTGTAAAACTGTATTTTTTAAGGGTGCAAAAAAAAATATTTGACGAAAGCTTGGAAGAGGTTAATGTCTAAGATACAGACTTTTGAGTATTTAAAAACTAGGGAAGAAGGTGGGAAAAAAGGTGGTTTTTATATATTCAGAAATCTTTCAATCATATAATTTTTTTTTCTTTTCCTCTGGAGCTTGACTTTAAAGTATTAATTGTGTATATTTATGATTTTTTTTATTTTAGTATTTGCTCCACTTTGGATAACACAGCTTGGAAATATTTCATTAAAAATATGAAGATATCATACTATTCAAATTGATTCTTTATCTTAAACAACTTCGATTTGAAATCCAAAAATAAAGCAGATTACTATGAATAAAAATCTTATTATTTTTAGATCCAAAATTAAAATCAGTGCATGATGCATTGGATAAAAAGCGCTTCCCATTCAAAGTAACCTCACAAGGTCAAGTTACGTACTGGATGGAAGATGGAATAGAGTTCAGATTATTTGACAAACTCACCATTGAATCACTAACAAGTGTAGATTATCTATTGGCCTGTAAACTAACACTTGAATCAGGTAATTAGCACTTTTACCAACATCTAATACATGTAATACCACCTACCTTTTTATTTGTCTACTTTATATTAATATTTAAATTTAAACAAAATAGATAAATGGTATAAATTTTTCCTCCCAAAAAGGATGTATGACCATGGCATTTTCAAGCTTTAAATACTTAATAATTTCCAATCAATCAATCAATCAATCATTCAGTCAATCAATCTTCATTCATTTGCATGCATTAACTGTGGATTTTACCTCAGTGATTATCAATTTACTAGCCAAACTCCATTGCATCACAAGAGTAGCAGGAGTTTGTAGCACAATTTTTGCTTCTCCCGGAAGCTGTCATTATGCTTTAAAAAAACTCATAATGAGAACTGGTTTATACAAGATTTACAGTACATAATATATCTCTGTTGTATAGAGCATTACACTGGTTTATACAAGATTTACTACAGTACATAATATTTCTCTGTTGTATAGAGCATTACACTGGTTTATACAAGATTTACTACAGTACATAATATTTCTCTGTTGTATAGAGCATTACACGAGTTATTAGGTGAGCATTATCATAATTTGCTTCTTCTTCTTCTTATTCATAAACTGTCAACATTTATTAAACAAAATTGCTCCTTTTTTTTTAGATGCCACTAAGCCCCAGTTGGAAGCTCTGCCTATCTCCTCAAAGAACAAATTCCATATTGCAACTGGTTACAAGAAAACACAATTTGATTGGGAAAACTTCAAATCACTTGTTAAAAGCAAGATTGAGGAACTTAAAGTTTTTCACCCAAAAACAATAAGCAAAGGTAAAACCCAAAAAAGCAGTATTGCACATTTGATAAATGAGAAGATTTAAGAGCTCGTTTTGAAAAAATGTTAAGTATTAATGTATTATAATAATAATAATTAAAAAAAAGTATAAGGACAATAAAAGAGACTTAAAAAATGCTCTGTATGTATGAGGGTCTTTAATGATCAATATGGTTAAAATGAGCAAAACCAGACCCTGATACGGACCGTGGTTCCTATAACCATTTTATTAATATTTATATTGTTTTATTAGATTTCAATTTCTTTAAAGTTTTCATGCTGGGGAGGGCGATCCTGCTACAACGAAAAAAAAAATATAAAATACCGTAAGTCCTTGAATAAGTGCACTCTAGAATAAGCATCGCTCTCAAATAAATGCTGCACAAAAATAAAAGTTTTCACTAAGTGCACTCTCAAATAAGTGCCACAGCACTTAGTCAAGAGCACATATTACCCTGTGTAAACAGGGTTTTAAATAAAATGTATACATTGTTCAAATGAATAAATAACACAAAGACACAAGCATACATTTACAATTGTTTATTAATGATGATGTAGGGCCTACAGTATGGTAGGTAACATGGGAATGGGTCGTAGGCTTAGCCAGCGAGCCGTCCGGCTGTCCTTTTGGACTGCCAACTATTATTTAGGATGACCACTTTTACCGTGACGGCTTGGATGACTTGGACTAGCTTAATTGGGCCTGGTCTACCTTTAGCAAATTCTTTATATTCTTCAAATCTATCGAATGTTACATTAAACTAAAACTAAATCATATTTACGTTTGATAAAAACAATCTTCATTGATTGAATGTACAGTACGTTGTTTTCATACCAATATTCAGCGGGGATTCCAAAAAATGTTAGGCTTTTTCTCCCCGCTTTTGCCTACCAGTTGAAAAGTTCACTTACAATGTAAAAGTTACAACATTTGCACTAGACAAAGGTGAGAGACGAAGATGCATTTGATTAAACTAGAAACAATGTGAGTAACCGTAGCAATGTGCAATCTATGTCTATAACTGAAATATCTTTGTGATAGCAAATTCAACACTATTCCTTTGAAGACAAAATTCCAACATTTCAACACCTTTAAATTCTAAACATCATAATGGCCCAGAGTGGCTTCCATTTCGGATGGCTTATTTCATTTTTCTGGCTAAGCCCCTGGAATGGGCATGGAAAGCGCCACGCAAATATGTTTTTAGTAAGTGCTGCTCTCAAGCACTAAAGCTTCAAAAAAATTTATAAGCGCCATGGTGATTATTCAAGTATTTACGGTAGATTCTTTCAACAAACACAATAGTATTAATAGTTTAAATATTAGAAACAATTAATTACATATTTTAATGCTTTTCAAATTTTATCATTACCCAGATTCTTTTTTTTTCTTTCGATCAGTTGTCTTCCAGTTCGATTCAAATCCATTAAACTCATACACGGCCGTATTTCCAAGATGTATATCATTTCACATAAAGGAAATTGAAGAGGAACAAGAGAGTGGTGTTGAAAAACCCACACAATCCTTAGTAGCTGCTAACCAGGCTAAAGAAACTCAACAATCTCTAAATGCGAAATATGAGGGGTCTGCAGTGGCAGCACCTATAAAAGAGGACATAGGGAAGAAAAAGGAAGATACATCTGTTCACAAAGAAGTTGAAAAAAGAAAACACAAGAATGATCGAAGGAAACAAGTCCCCCGAGAAAGAGAACAGAAAATTCATGAGCATGAGAAAAAAAGAAAACAAAGAATTAGTCACCTCCATGATAAACAGGTAGCAACAGGGCCTGTGTTGTCATTCAGTGAGCAAATCAATCAGAAAGCTTTTCAGATTGGACAACTGAATGATCTAGAAATCTCACAAAATTCTCATCCATCTACTTCTGGAAGCAATGTGTCTCAAATAAAAGCAGAGGTACCACACAAAGGTGTATCTGTGATGGCTGCTAAAGTAGAAAGCAAATTTAAAGATGAAAAAATACAGATGTCAGAACCATCAGATTCATCCAGATTGGAAGAAAGGAAAGTACTTCACTCTCCAGTACATATAGCCACACCTACAATTGAAAAGACATCTGAACCAACACCTATAATAATGCCTACCAATGTTGGTTCTTACCCATCTGGAAATACACCTAAGCTAGTTGATAAAAATCCTACAACACCTACACCAGCAGTTAAAATCCGTCCTGTTACTACACCTATGGCAGTTACGTCAACACAAGCAGCTAAACCTGCACCGAAAGTAGCTAAAAAAACCCCTGCTGTAAGGAAGAAACTGGTTCCAAAACCATCTGAGTCAATTAAGAGGTACAGTGAACCATCTATTTCAAAATCTGTCGAACGTCCCACTCGTCCTCTCTCTGAAATTATATTAACGCTCAATGCAAGTAGTGGTGGCATAATGGGTATAAATCCAAGCCAGTCAAAACCAAAACAGATGTCACTTGGCTATGATCAATCAAACAATCCACCTTGGGAAGCTTTTAATGTGGGTTCTCGAGCTGCTGACATACCAAGCAAGCAGCGTAAAAATGAATGCAAACCACCAGATGTAAAAAAAAAACCACAGAAACCCCAAAATTTAAATCTTAAACTCCCTCCAAATGAATCAAAAGGGAAATGTGACATTCCACAATTACCAGGAATAGATGCTGGAAAGAGTGTCACCATTGTATCTCCTACGATCGCTAATATCATCGAAAGACTATCAGTGGATGGCGAACCGAAGATACCTATGGCAGCTGGCAGTGGATTCAGTAATCCATCAGGTGGTACAGTGAAGATACTAGGTAAAAACCAGAATCCAAAGGAGCACATTTACGATGAGATACGCGAACCAATATTTGATGCTAAAAAGTCAACAGTGACAGATCCCAAGATAGCTTATGATACAATACTCCACAACGAGGCAGAAACTAAAAATTATGTTGCATTAGTCAAAAGAAATGGTAACCAGGACAATGATGTTCCATCCAAATTGGTAATACCAAAAGATCCATATAGTGGAGCATACGTGAACGTGCAATCATACGAGTAAACGCAGACATAAACACTACCGTGGAACTGAGCTACGAACCTTTCCACTAAGCCCGCCCCTTGGATATTGTTCCTAAGGTCCCATAAAAAAATAATTAAACATGTGCGTTTGTGTTGTGAGACAGACAACATGTGTGTTTGTGGGACACACGCCTACTCCAGGACCTGTTCTGATTGGTCAGTTGTTAAGTCTGATTGACACTCTGGAAGGTCCATTGTGTCCATGTTGCCTTGCTCAAGAACCAAAGCATAATTTTTCTTTGTATCTATCAACTTTACTCAAATTATATGATTGTTTTACCGGTAAGAATGTTACTAACGTTAATCTATTGGTCCTATATAAATAGTGTCTCAGCTTTCCATAAGCAGAGCTCTTATACACCTTTAACATAGAATATAAGATTATATATAATTTATTTTATTTATTCTGATATTGACATAAAATTAAAGAGCAGCCAAAGGCTAAAATGGTTTGTATTACAAAGAGTTTAAAAAAAACAAAAACATATAATAATAATATTCTTTTAAATAAATGATTGAATATCAAAATCAGAGCATCTTGAAAAAATGTCAGAGATAAAAATATAGTCTAGCGCCCTCTACAGATAAGTCAGTGAGTAGTTGCCACGGTTCAGTGACACAGGCATAATTAAAGCACACAGCATATCATCAGAGATGACTATACACAATATATACAAGTCATCAGAATAACAATGCATGGCATGATGAATCCGACAAAATAATCTCTTAAATTAGAAAATCTAAGAGCAATGATGGTTGCACAGGCTCAAATAAACATGAATGAAATTACATTCAAATGCCAAAACAATGATGTAGTTTTTCAATATTACATATTGGAGCATTTTGTATCCCTGTTATAATAAGATAAAATGTTGATGATGTACACATTTAATCATTTACTTTCCATTAAAAATCATTATAAATATAATGTATAATACTGAAATTTAATAGATAAAAAATGCATATCATTAGGAATGAAGAAACAATGGCTAAAAAATTGATAAGAATAGATATTATTTATTTTTAAGGTACACACATGCTTCGGCTGACGAGAATTAATATAATTCAATTCATATATATTGCCTGGTTTTAGTACCACAGGGGAAATCTCTATACTACGATTCCAATGACATTTTGAAGAATGATGCTGCAATACACGATTCAATCAAGATGTCTTATAGGTAGATAAAAAAAAATCAATGTTCAATACAACCGTAATATGTTTACACAGATTATAATGCTGAGATACAAGTATAGTACCTAGATGATTTCAGCATATAGACTTTTTGTTCAGATTCCTGTTAAAAAATATTTTTTCATACATGTATGAAATTTGTAAATTTTTGTAATTTCACCTATTTTGAATTCATATTACTTATGTGTGTAAAGACAAGCTTCTTATCCTGTTCTTGCTTATCATGTTTGAGGTAGCTTCATTAGGATGCAGCCTACTGTATGCCAATAAGAGTTACTGTAGATAGTATCATACATACTGTTGTTCACACATAAGAGTGGGTTGTGAGAATTGTTAATAGAAATTATATACTATACATGATTAAATTCAAACTGACCTTTTAAAATGAATTTAGAATTAATCAAGAAAATTAAGAATTCAATGTGGTGATGACTAATACTAATATTTGAGTCAATGAATACTTCTTTAGTAAACTGATAAAATTGTTTGTACTTATTTATTATTATACTTAATATTAAAATAAATATAATAACAATACAAGTATAATAAACATTTTTATACATGAAGGCAAAGACTATGCTGGCATAATAATGAGTGTTTACATTTCTTGTATAGGTTCCATGTGTATTGTTCAGTGATTAATTTTAAAAAATCAATTATTATTTATGGATTATGAATATATGAATAAATAACCAAAAAAAATGATCAATTTGAAAATATAAATTAGTGTATTTAAAACACAAGACGAGCCAATTTGCTGACTGGCCTAAGTTTCTTCCTATGTTTAAACCAGTAAGCCTCTTCTAAATTGAAAATAAAATTAAAGAGTATAAACGTAATTATTTTCTGTACATAAAATAAAATTATTCTGAAATATTTATCCAGAAACACCAATAATAGAGATTCATACAAAATATTCTAAAAGTGCAATGACATTTAATTTTTTTTTCATTATTTTATAACTTACAGTAAACTGCTTATATAATTGTTAAAAATGAATATATTAATATTGTAATGAAATATTATATTACCAATAATGTAATTTCACTTGTAGCTTGAGGAAATGATCATTGAAAAAGCCTGTAATGATTTTAAAGGTTTATCAAATTGTAATTTACTATAAAGTAATGATGCTCATTATTAGCACAACATACATTTTACATATTACATACTGGGAAAAAGAGAACATTATGAAACACATTAACCAGAATGCCATAACAAATCAATGAGTATTGTGTTGTTACCTAGCAACATCTTCCAAGCAAAATTGAAGGCCTTCAAAAGAAATAGGATAGTCCTTAATAGGAACAGTGTATAGAAAAAAAGAAAAAAGATATCAGGAATCAATTCACTAAATGCATTAACACACAGCGCAGGATGGCGATTATTCACTGGATATTTCATTTCATCTAATTATCACTCCCTGTCTACAATATAGCAGCAACAGCAAATGCTAATTTTCAAAATTTTTACCGGTAGAATAAGATACGTCTTGAAGATCTGCTAATGAACAATATATTTTGTATCAACCTGTCATGAATGAATGGACAGGCAAGAAGAACACCATAGACCTCTGTTGTGCAACCCACTGTACAGTATGGGTCACGACCCAATGATTGGGTGGCAAAGAAATTTGGATGGGTCACAAAGTTGCTTCAGATAAAAACAAAATTGATGGTAACAAATGAAAGTGCTGACAAAAAAAAATGCCAACAACTGAACCCCAACGTATGTTAGTAAAGCTTGGTTTTCACAAAATCGCTACACCCTATAGCCGACAGCTTTTTTTGATGCTGATTGGTTGGTTGTATCGGAGAGCTTTCCCGATTTGCGTCGGGGACTGCTATGCTAGTGCAACGATTGCAATAAAAAAAAAACTGTAGAGATAAGTGTAGCGATTCTCAAGGAAACCCGGGCTTTAGCTTGACATTTACCGTATGAATACATTTCTGTTTATCTTAAACAGCAGCCATTGGTAAATTTTTGGATAAAAAGCAAAAAAGACATCAGCCAGGTTGCGACAAAATTCTAATGCTATTCATGACAACAACGTGGATATATGAGACTGGATTTCAATTGTTCCGTATATATTCTTGTGTATAAGACAAATCTTAAAATAGCAAATTACGATCATTACTTAAAACGTGGGGTTGTCTTATACGCACGCATCACAAATATTCCATTTTCAAGTATATCTTTTACTTACACCACCTCACTCCCCCTTCCCCCAAAAATAAGTCCTCCATCTTCAAATATTAGTCTATCAGGTACAGCATGCTATTCCACACCCTAAATGACAGAGGTCTGGGTCACAGCAACTGAAGATCCAGTGCACCAAAAATGGAATCTGAAATCTGATACAGCATCGGAGGACATTATTCTACAGTGCCTAGTAAAAATAATGAGCAAGCTGTTGTATTTACTGTACAATTTGTAACAATAGAAAAAGGTTTAACTGTTCGCTAAGTGAACCTCAGACAGATGCGTAGATTAATGAACACAGCAATATCCCATCAATAACCTCATATTAGTACAATTTCACATTACCTATGTAAATAGCATTGTAATTTCCATACAATCAGTATAGGCCTACACATAGATGATATTCTCAATGATATACAAACTAATTAAGTATAGTACCATAATGTTTCTTGTTTTTAAGCTCAGATGAAACTTCATTATCTTTTTCACAAACCCACTACCTGCCAATGATGTTTCTGAATAAAAATAAAATTATATTTTTGGCCTACTGTATTAGCACACCAAATGGCTAAACTGGTGGTAACCACTGTGTGCGCACTAAAACCATGATTCTCAGTTCAATCCGATCCACTTAGCCGTCCTGAGGCAAAACAACCTAACTCACCTTTTTGTTGATTTTGCGATTTCATCATGTGAGTATATTAAACACATCTGAATTAACTGTGAAAATTTCAGGTCTCAACAATGAGTCTTTTCAGAGATAGCACCACTTATCTTTAAGCACAAAACTTAAAATCTAGTGAATTTCTGTGGTAAAACAACATAACTGCAAGATTAAGGGGCAAAACATGAAATCTACAATGACGATAAATTTTTTTGGATGGGAATGGTATTCAAAAATTGTTTTGAGCTAAAGGAGTTTGGCACAGCAAAATCAACCAGTTGATGGTATTTTCATATCTATAATCCTAACAACAGCGTATGTACAGGCAAAATAAGGCACGATTGCCCCAAACGCGATAAATTCCAAAAACATGTTGCAACAATATCGCGCCTGCCATGTTTCCAAGGTAACACAACGTATATGAGACTTTATTGAGAGCGCTTTAAAAATGCTTCAAGTTGTATTTTTATTATTATTATTATTATTATTATTATTATTATTTATGAATATCGTTAATAACTTAGCAATAAACCAATGATTCTAATAAAAATTTTACATTATATAATCCTACTGTAATGTCTATTAATTAGTCCTACAACATTTCAGAAGGGTACGACAATTTATTAAGTTGCAAACATGCAAACTTTAAATCTATTTTTCTCGAAAAGTGAAAATTTTAAGTTACATTGTTTTGGCACGGGACAACCACACTGCACTCCTTGTGTTTTTGTTTCAAATGAGATCCTTTGAACCCCCATCAACTAATTTCTGGAGGTACCACTGGGCTAATGCAAATTTCTAGGGATGGATACGTGGGCCTAACAAAATGACATTATTATTATTTTATTATTATTTAGAGTGCAAATAACATTCCTATTAGTATTATATATATCTTAAAAAACTGTGGGCATTAAAAAAAAAAAACATATTGCACTCAAAATCCAGTACTGATTATTCAACCAACTCATGCAGATATCAGAAATAATAAGCTTGAAGCGTGGGCAAATGTATGATAAATTGATGTAACAGATTTTAGAAACATTTGTAATTTGAAAAGAGGGTCATTCATGTTGAATAACCCCTTTGGCACTGTCCTGTTTTCTATTTCGTCTTTTTATAACCAATGCATACATTTCTCTACAGATTTATATTTTTTAATACATTAACAACTAGTAAAGATACCTCACCCTTATTATAATAATAAATGTCAAAAGTGAGTTGATAATTTGAGATGCAAGCATTTGTACAGTAATGTAAAATGTTGAATCCTATGTAGCAAAACAAGATACGTATGATATTAGATCCAGAATATTGATTAAAGCAAAGCATTGTGGTACTGTAGTTCCAAACATATTCATTAATTTAGTTTAATGCACTGTATTCCACACTAAAGCTTAGAGGATGAAAACCTACTGGGTATACAATATGTGATGATAGTACCGGAAGTGATTTGCCAACTCGTGGATAAAACTAAGTGATTGTTATGCGCAATGTTGTTGGATTTCTGTAGTTTTGAAATTGCAGACGAAAATCTTTGCACGTGGTTGGAAATGTGCAAAGAAATTTTAAAACTTTTAATGGTCTAGGCATAAAAGTTAAATGTTAATCTCTTTTATTTTAACATTGAAAACAAATTGTTAACTGCAATCTTACTGAATACAACCAATTTGATCACCATTGTTAAATATCTTGAGCATGGATCAAAAAAAAAAAAAACATATTGCTCTCAAAATCCAGTACTGATTATTCAACCAACTCATGCAGATATCAGAAATAATAAGCTTGAAGCGTGGGCAAATGTATGATAAATTGATGTAACAGATTTTAGAAACATTTGTAATTTGAAAAGAGGGTCATTCATGTTGAATAACCCCTTTGGCACTGTCCTGTTTTCTATTTCGTCTTTTTATAACCAATGCATACATTTCTCTACAGATTTATATTTTTTAATACATTAACGACTAGTAAAGATACCTCACCCTTATTATAATAATAAATGTCAAAAGTGAGTTGATAATTTGAGATGCAAGCATTTGTACAGTAATGTAAAATGTTGAATCCTATGTAGCAAAACAAGATACGTATGATATTAGATCCAGAATATTGATTAAAGCAAAGCATTGTGGTACTGTAGTTCCAAACATATTCATTAATTTAGTTTAATGCACTGTATTCCACACTAAAGCTTAGAGGATGAAAACCTACTGGGTATACAATATGTGATGATAGTACCGGAAGTGATTTGCCAACTCGTGGATAAAACTAAGTGATTGTTATGCGCAATGTTGTTGGATTTCTGTAGTTTTGAAATTGTAGACGAAAATCTTTGCACGTGGTTGGAAATGTGCAAAGAAATTTTAAAAATGTTAATGGTCTAGGCATAAAAGTTAAATGTTAATCACCTTTATTTTAACATTGAAAACAAATTGTTAAACTGCAATCTTACCGAATACAACCAATTTGATCACCATTGTTAAATATCTTGAGCATGGATCTACAACAATTTGCACTAATCTGACACACTGCATGAACATTTATAATATTTATCATCAATTCTTTATATTTCAATTCATATGTTGTACTGTATTTTTTTAAAACCTCATTATTTTATTTATTCTTTCTTTCGAATGGATACCATTTTCAGAAACACAGTACTGCTTTTCAAAATGGTCCAGTTTCAGATTAAAAGTATTAAGTAGAACAAAAAAAGTATCAAAAAGCAAGAAAATAAAAGAATCCCAAATAGGCATGATAAAGAACAAAAATATTTAAATAGCAAATAACCTTATTTTATAGTATTGTAAATTAGCACAAATGGCATTTTTTAAATTGACTATGT